ACACACAGCCCTCATCTTCTTATTTACAGCTACTATTAACTCACTCGGTATTCATTGAGTTTTCTTTGGAGAATCACTCAGAAACTGCACAAAAAACAAGCTAAATTCAAACCTGACGGCAAAAAAACCTAAGCCATAATTCGGTTTTTACCCATTCTGATAGTTAATATTTGTTTTGTACCCATTCTGATAGTTATATACTTATTAAATGCACGTACAGACTATGTAGCATAAGTAATATTGTGGTAAAACGGTCCAGTTTCAGGTCTGTTTCTTCATTCTGGAGCTTTTGGAGCAGTATCTGTACTTTATTGGAGTATATATTTTTTCCCTACTTTTACTTTCACTCCACTACATATTTTTGATTAATTTAATACTTTTACTCCAATCGATTTTTTCCCGGGCTGAATCGTTACTCGTTACTGATATGTAAACGTAATGATAAATAGCTCTGTCAGGGTTTTTGAAGCTGGCTACTTCCGTACTTCCACTTAAGTATGGTGTTGAAAGAATACGTCTACTTTTACTCGAGTAATTTATTTTATGTAGTACTTTTACTTCTACTCCACTCCTCTACTCCAGTACTTTATACGTCTCTGGATGTAGGTCACAACAGGTGCAGCTTGGCTCCGAGTTAAGGTGATTAACAGCGTACAAATGCAAAAGGGGGCAACTTCCGGGAGCATCCGGGGCCTAAAGGACACCCTGCATCCCGCTTTCATTAACTCATTGACTGGCAGCCATTTTCAGAACAGAGTCCCGTACTGCCAGAGTTTTTATAGCATTTTGACTGATTTTTCAAGAGCCACAGAATAGTTTGAGCTATGACTATGTAAACACCGAACACACCAAAAGAAAGAGTAGACTCTCTTCTTTCATCAGGAAAAAAATGTTGTTTCTACCTTATTCCGTTCTTCCTCGACTTGCGTCTCACCGGCGACATGTTCTCTCATAGAACCGTTACCTTTTTCTTATTTGCCTTCAGTCTATGCTCATCTCCCATCAAAAGTGGCACTGCCCCCTAGAGGCTCAATTTGTTACTACATACTCTGTCTAGAAGCCTGATATTTACGGACAAGCTTTAGCAGATCGTCTCCCAGCCACTCTCGTTGAAAAACATAAAAGACGTCTATAGACGTCTTTGGCAGCCAATGAGTTAAAGAGACAGGCACTCAGATGTGACCTCATCTAGATTTAGACTTAGACTTCCTTTATTGTCATTGTACAAAAAACACCAGGTGAATCTTGACAACGAAATGTCGATTACTTGGCTACCAGTGTGACAGAGCTAAGACCTTATTCCTGCACAATAAATATGTTTTCTGTAACTGAGAGCTAGATATGTACAGGGTAAGAAGCATATATATATATACATATTATTGCATAATTGAGTTATTACAAAAGAAACAGCAATGAATATTGCACTGAGTTAATTGCAAAAAGAAAGAAGAAACATTGGGGTAAGAAGCATATATATATATACATATTATTGCATTATTGAGTTATTACAAAAGAATGAATATTGCACTGAGCTATATACAAGGGCCGGTGGGTGGGGGGGTAATGGGGGGGTAATGGGGGGGTACTTACTCTGCGTATCCGGTGGCCCAGGGTAATCTCCTGGTCTCCTTGAGGATGAGGATGGGCCGGGCTCCGTGGTCCGCGGAGCACTCCACCTCGTCCGGGGAGAGTCCCAGGAAATAGGGCCGCGCGTAGGGGAACCTCAGCGGGGTGTCGGAGCCCGGAGGCCCGGTCCCGGTACCGGTGGAGCCCCCCCCGGCCACCAACCCGCCCACCAGCCCGGCCACGGCCGACTTAACCCGGGTCAGCATGCCGGTTCCGCGCCGCGGAGGGGGGGGTGGGGGGGGGGGCTCCGCAGGCCGGCCCCGGCTGCCTTTTCCCGGATTCCCCCCCAGCTCGAGGACCGGGAGGAGGACCGGGAGGACCGGGGAGGAGGACCGGGGAAACGCTCACTCAGCCCGGGCACGGAGGGGGGAGCACGGCACGGACCTCCATGGATCGGTCCCGGAGAGGAAATACGCGCAAGGGATTATCGGGACCACGTGACGCGCGCGCGCGCTGCAAAAAGCCTCCTCTCTCGTGCACGCGCGCCAGGCTCTCTCCAGCATCTCGCTCTCTTATCAGAATCAGAATCAGGTTTATTGCCAAGTAGGTTTTTAGACTTACAAGGAATTTTTTGCCTTGGTGTTTGGTGCACAACACAACACTTCTATGAGAAGCAAGAAATAAAATGTAGAAGTAAAAATATAGGACAGAAATGATAAAACTGAAAAATACAATCTTTAAAAATATAGGTCCGAATGTGCAAATGAACAAAGCCCCCATCCCTGAGCCCCCACCTGAGAGCAAAGCCCCAAAAATCTGGTTTTATCGGATTTGGTTTGATCAAACATCCGATTTTAGAAGGGAGAGGGGGTGTGAATGTGATGAGGGATGTTAGAATTTAGCCAATAATTACTCACTTTAGCATAGTATGCTATAACTTAACCCTTTAACGCCTGATCCAAGAATAAAACAAAACTGAAAATTACTTTTTTTTTTATTCCTTATTTGGCCTTTTAACAAAATATGTAAAAATAAAAAACAAAAATAATTTTTTAATATTAATAATTTATTACTATGCGATAAGTAAAGATTATGTTTTGTGTAGTCTTCTGCCCCCTGTTATCAGGTGTATCTGATTGTGTACAATAGGATTTTGAGCAAAGTTTTTACCATTAAATGATGCAAAAGGAGTCAGACGCAGAACATTTCAGAAACCGTATGAATCAAATATGATACATTTGGCATTACAGGGTTAATCCATGTAAATGACTGATTGTCTTATTCCTTTTTGGATTCATATTATTCCATTTAGAGTTATACTTTTGTGTTAAACTCTCTGCCTCCTCCTCCTCTCTCTGTTACAGTAGAAACTCGTCTTTGAGCTCAACTTTCTTATCATATTCCACCTAAACCTGCATGAATTAGGACCTGGCCTGTTCATGTCAGAGCTAACTGGCCAATAACACTCATCCTCCTGTTTGAGGCCCAGAGGAAAACTGGGACCTTTGTCTGTGAGAGCCCAGCTTATTTACTTTGTTTGTGACCAATAAATGCCATATTTGTACTCTTGATCTACTCTGGTTTATTCTCAGGATTCCAACTAAAAAATCAGGCTAACAGGGATGAGTCATTTCTGCCAGCAGAAGGTGAACTGCTGCAAAAACTGTGGAAAAATACAGATTACAGACCCCACCTGAGAGAAAAAGAACAAACACAAGTTAAAAAAATTAGGAAAAAAAATCAAAATTGATCTGATTCTTTGCTTTAAATATCCAAAGTGGAGGATCAAAAGTTACAGGACACTGTTTTATTTCAGAAACAAAAGGGAAAATGACATAACAGGAAGGTTGGGGCTGTGTTTAGGCTTCTGTTAGTTTGCAGAAGGTCAAAAGTCACGGTGGTAATGGGTAAAAAAAGGAAAATTAATCTCATTCTTTGCTTTAAATATCCACAGTGGAGGATCAAAAGTTACAGGACACTGTTTTATTTCAGGAACAAAAGGGAAAATTACATATCTGACCACATAACAGGGAGTGGGGAGGATGTTTAGGCTTCTGTTAGCATGCAGAAGGTCAAAGGTCACAGCAGTAATGGGCAAAAAAAAAGAAAAACCCTCTGCAAGCTTTGTTTTCTCAAAAAAAGAAGCTCGACTTTTCCCTCCAGGAGGTTCATTTTTCTCCATTTCTGCGTCACTCTGTGTGCTCACTTAGTTGTTGACTGCCATGTTTTAAACATTTCCCTTTGGGGGGGGGGTTAAGTTACACATAAGATCAGATAATTTGCATAAACTGAAGGTCAGACATTCCCGGGCGGCTGAGTTGAGGTTTGCAGGTTTTTCCAGAAAAGAGTGTGTTTTTCTCCCCGTTCTGTCATGACTTAAATATTTAAATGGCCCAATAATAAAACCAATATATTGAAAATTAATTAAAAAAATAAAGATTTATTTATCTATCTTAAAAACACACAGACTTTTAGAAATTTACCTTAATTTACTAATATAATTGTATATTTTTGTTTCAATTATTTAAATAATTACCTTACCACAGTTTTTTAATTCAATTGAGCTTCTTTTATGTATTTTACTTTAATTCCTCTGGTGTTTTTCTTCTAATATTAAACCTACTTTTCTCTTTTATTTTCCTAAGAATTTTCTTATTTTGTTTTTTTTAAACCACTCTTTGTATTTCCAAGTCTTCTTTTATACATTTCTGCATCATTATGCAGATAAGATGGACAGTCCACCATTTCTTATCAGTCAATCAAACCTGAATTGCTTAAATTTAAGACAGAAAAAGTGTCTGTCAGGTGCTTTTAAAGTTGCTGTCCAACAACTCCTCTGTTTGGTCAACAAAAACATGGAAAAAATAATCTAAAAACAGTCCAATTACAATAAAATGCACAAAGAAAAACATGCTGGTCAGTTAAATGATGAAATATTTGTTCAATTTAATTTTAAGGGATTTTTACACAATGTAAATAAGTGTGTTTGGACATTAAAGTAGATTATTTTGCTTATATCTTAAGTATATAATTCATTGATATACAATGATATGATGGATGTTATTTATTTATGGGGTCATTTCTATATTTCTGATGTTGTTTAAACTCTGGGAGCGTCATGTAATGAGCAGCAGAGTCCACTAGGTGGAGCCATTTCACCAAAGTGGAGCTTTCCTTTTACGGGAAATGTGCCAACCTCCTCTCTTCTTCTTCTCCCTTCTTCTTCTGTGAAACGGCGGAGGAGGCCTTTGGCAGAGAGACCTGATAAAGTTCAGACTACCAAACCTCCCTTTTCCCAGAATCTTCCCAGTTACAGAGAACAGGGAGACTTTTCTGTGAAGCAACCCTCCACAGGAGGGAGTTCCTCTGGTGTTTTTCTTCTATTATTGTGCAAGGTGAAGGTCTTGGAGGTCTTTCACTGGTTCTGTTGTTGTTCCCAGACAGATATTTGGCTTTTGTTATGGTTTTTATCCTCTATTTCCCCCCCTGAGAGCGTATTCAGAAGAGGAAAAAAGTGATAAAGTTGTGTTTTCTGTGTGTTAAGTTGTGTTTTCTGTGTGTTTACCTGTTTATGATCCTTCCCTTTGACCCACATCCTCCCGGTCTGAAAACCAGAAGTGTGAGATAAGCTGGAGGCGTTTGGAAGATGCCCTTTACGACGCATCCTTCCCAGCATGAGAGCCGTGACTCAGGACGTTTCTCTGTCCGCTTACCGTCCGACAAAACAGAGCTCAAAGAACCAGGAAGGAACTCAGGAGTGTTGTTTATGACTATATGAGGCTTATTGTTTGAACACACCGGCTTCAAACGGGGAACCAGGCTTGTTTTTTTCATCAGGGCTGATCATTTGAGAACAGGAGAAGCAGATAAAAGGCTCAAATTCCCTCAAAATGAGGAAAAAATAGCAAAGAGGAGGCTCAAATTCCCTCAAAATGAGGAAAAATGAGCCTCAAACGATGCTCTTAGTGTCAAATTCCTTCCCTTTAAGTGACTTTTTCCCTGTTTTTGCTCTGTAGTTTCAGGTTTCTGCTCATTTGTTGTGACCTGACTGATGTCTCAGGGTTGTGTTTAAAAGAAAAAAGGGGAAAAAAGAGTCTTTCCCCAAAAAAATACTTCCAATTCTGAGTCATCCACTATGGAGGCAGGTTGTGTGAAAGCGTGTGAAAACAGCCCCGCCCCCCCCATAAATATATCATCCCACTCTGCAGGCTCTGGCTCAGTTGTAAGCAGAAGAACGGGAAAGAGGAGAGGCTGAAAATGCTCCTGTGCCTGCTGGTTTTTGTGGTTCAGGGCTGGCTGACCGCAGCCTCTGAGGACTTTCTGCTGGAGAGGATCCAGGACTGCCAAACCACCTGTTCTCAGGTCAGGTTCTCCTCTAAAAGCCCTTTTCCCCCACTGAAAAGCTCCACTTTCCACTTTCCAGCCTTCCTCTGCTCCCTCCTGCTGTTTCTCATCTCTTCAACCTGTCTCACTGTTAAACCTTTAAAGCCTGATGCAAGAAAAAATAGGAAGAATATTGGATTTTTTTTGGTCTGAAGTCTTTCTTTGGTCCCTCAACAACATATAAAGTAAGAAAAACTGAAATTATTTTGATCAAATTAGCGTGCAGTAAGTCAAAAATGTATGTTGGTGTAGTCTTCTACTGGCTGCTTTCAGTTATATGTGAATGTGTACAAATGACTTTTACCACTGAATGATGCGAAAAGTCTCAGATCCAAAAGAAACCGGATCAGATATGACACATTTGGCATTATAGGGTTAAGACCCCCAAAACAGCTTTAACCCTTTAAAGCCTGATGCAAGAAAAATAGGAAGAATATTTGATTTTTTTTTTGTCTGAAGTCTTTTTTTGGCCCCGAAACAACATATAAAGTAAGAAAAACTGAAATTATTTTGATCAAATTAGCGTGCAATAAGTAAAAAATATATGTTTATATTTGGTTGAACTTGTTTGGACTTATTGTACAAACCTATTTAACATCCACTATTTTAAAACATAATTTTATGGATAGAGTTTAATTCAGTGTTTTGCAAGATTAATTTCACTATTTTTAAATGAATGTCTATATTGCCATGAAGCAATTAGGATTTTCTTGCCTGGGATCTTCCTATTGGTGACTTAATCAAAATGGCCGCCTTGGATGTGGGCGGAGTTGGATATCCATCCTTGGCTTTAACCCTTTAAAGCCCGATCCAAGAAAAATAGGAAGAATATTGGATTTTTTTAGTCTGAAGTCTTTCTTTGGCCCCTCAACAACATATGAAG